CTGCTGTTGGCAGTTTTAGCAGCACAATCGTCTGCCAGCCAGAGGAACCAATTGTAGCTGCAGAGCAGTTTGCTCAGATCTCGTGCTGTAGCTTGCAAAAAGCAAAGTCACCTTGTGCTTGCCAGGCACGGGAGCAGTGCCAAGAGGACCAGTGAGATGCCCAGGGAGCAAGTGTTTACAGCTGGAAGGTTCTCATAAAGGGGATGGTAGCTGCAGCATCACTTGCAGCTCACCGCAAAGCGACAGCCAGAGGATAAAACGATGACGGGTCGGAAGCACGAGGTCAGATGCCCCTCCAGGGACAGGCCTGCAGGAAGGGTTTTCACACTGCTGTGGGACATGAGGACTTCCCAGCAGCCCTGAGGCTGGACATGATGATCTCAGAGGTCTTTTCCAGCCTCAACAACTCTGTGATTCTGTGTGAATCTCAAGATGCTTCTGAGACACAAGTACCTGAGCATTGTTTAGCCACAGTGGCAGAGCTGCCCAGATGAGGCTGCAAGCAGTGGGAGCTGCCTTAAACCCAAGCAACTTTGTCTTTAGAGTCCTTTTTTATTTTTGTCCTTTATGAAGACCACCCTCACGGGACCCAGCCCCAGGTGCTTCCTCTTCTCCACCCCTACCTGGGTCATGCAGGGCAAACCCACATGTGGGCTAAAAGCTATGGTCAGTCCTAGGACAGCCTCAGCTTCTGCAGACAACACCTTAGAGACGAGGAATAAGTAACCAGCTACAACAGAGCCTGTTATTAGGAGCATTTAAAGTAACCAACCAAACAGTAAACCAGAAAAACTTCTAGGAATAACTGCTTTAATCTAAAAAGACTCTGAGTATTTGAAGTACTACAAAGCTCTGCAGGCTAGACAGCTCTGCACTTCGCCAAACCTGAGCAGCTCTGTGCATTCCCCATTGTTCTCCCCTTTGCCTTTCCTTTCACAAGTTGCTAAAGTTTTCCTAGAGGCTTGTTTTGACTGCTGAGGGAGAAAAATAAAAATAAATAAGCATGGCAGAGAGCCTTTGCACAGCTACTTAGGACATCTGCAAAGGCCATGTGGGGAGTTGTGAGCCATTGCCCCCAGGGGAAGAGACAGTTTTGAAGGAACACAGATGCACAGCAGGCAGGGGCAGGAGAGCTGTTCTAAACAACCTGGACCACGCCACCACAGCCAGGGAAAGGAACATCTCAACGACCAGCCCCTGGACCAGACTCGTCCTCGGAGGCACTTGCTGGGCTGGAAAAGCAGGTCCCACCTGTGCCAGCAGTTTGCATTTAGCTCCAGGAATCCACACACCGAAGGTCAGACCGCTCCCACGCCCCAGTTTGGGAGATATTACAGGCTCTTCTCTCCTGGCAAGCTGTGGTCGGCTGCAGGAGCCCCAGCGTGGGCACGCAGGGAATTCTGCACCTCCTGCAGTAGTGCAGAGCAGAGTGCAGCTGGTACGGAGCCACTGGTGCCCTGGAGACCTACATCTACCCACAAGGCTCCATCGTTCCTACCCCCTAGGCAGGCTCCTAGATTTACAAGTCCCACACCCACCACCTCCCAGTCCTGACCAGCAGCCTTGTTCCACCCACAGAGCGCTTCTGCCTCCTTGACAGAACTTCAGTAGAGCAAGGCTGATCAAGAAGAGTATTTTATTGTCACTCTCGCGCTCCAGGGGGTCTGAGCAATCTGAAGGACACCAGAGCTCAGCTGAGGACCTTGAACAAGCACTACCAACCCAGCACAAAGCCATGGAGTGGGGACAGAGGTGAAAGAGCTCCTACATCGGAGCAGAGACACACGCTGTTGCCCTTCCTAGGATGGCAGGGAAGCAACTGCCTCCGCTCCCAGGTGCTGACAGAGGCAGGTGTCAAAGTCCAACAACATAACCCATACAAAGCACTTACTGGAGAGTCACCAGTTTGACTAACCTAAGCTATCTATGCCAGCTCCTCTTGTAGGGCAGCTGGAGCTGTCCAAGCCACTTCCCTTCAGGGAGCAGTCACAGGGACCCCCACCCATGGGGTCTACAGCCCCCAGCTCCCTTGGAGACCATCACAAGGGCCAGAGGCAGCAGGACCAGGAGCGGCCATGGCAGAGCACACACAGCTTCGTTGGTCTCGGGAGTCACGTTCTCCGTCCCAGCAGAGGACGATCTCTTTTTCCAGGCGTAATACTTGGCCACAACCACATTGGGGTTTCCATGGGCAGGGTCAAACCACATCTGGATGCAGCGACCACTGCCCCGACGCTCTGTGGTGTATTTGTAAGAGTTGGACCAGATTTTCTCACACAGGTCTTTTGGTCGGGGGAAGACTTGACTGAAGGGTCTGCACATGGAGCCCCAAGGACAGCGGTTTGTTCCTGAAGACAGACAGCACCACAAAAGGAAACAACGTGAGCTAGCACACTTTACTTATGTCCTTCCACCCAAGGAGGAGCAGGCCACCTGCCCACAGCCCATTGCTGCACCCTAGCTAGTGGCTTTTTCTCTTGGTGGGGGCGCGGCGCGCCCCC